CAAATTGTCCAAGTACTGAGGGTAGGTGACTGAATGTTCAGTGCTAAATGGGGTGTCTATATCGATCTCCCTGACCAATAGCTTGTAGATTACAAAATAAGAAGGGACAGAAAGAATGTAACCGCCATAGGCTAGGGAGGGGGCCATGAGATGCTGTCTGCCGACCATGCCGTGACCGTGGCATTCATAAACACACAGCAGCGCATGAGAAGGATCTCCAATGTGAAAGGCAGGTGGGCTCATGCAGACCCTCCCCTCACTGAGAAGCTGTTGGTAGTTGGTGTTACTTAAGGAGGGGAGTTATGCTCTCTTGCTCTTGGCTTCTTGTTCCTTCTCTGTCCTCTTGCCCCTTCCTCCCCTCCCCATTCCCTTCCTCCCCATCTCCATGTGTTCATGACTAGCCTCTACTCCACTCCTCTATTCATTCCCCCATTTCTCTGCTTCACTACCCTCTCAGCTCCCCTCCCCATGTCCTGAATAAACTCTATTCTATACTATAAAAAAGGGGTGAGTCATTTTTCCTCAGGGATGTGCTGATGGTCAGCTGTCACGCTCCAGCAGGTATCCCACACCTAAGGCATCACTAATCGGATGCATAGTGTTATTTTTAAAAAGACATATTAATGGGAGGGGAGAATCGAGAAGTGAGAGAGAAAATTCGTTGGACATGGTTAAGGTACACTGTGTATGTGTATGAAATTACCAACAAAAAATATTCTTTTTTAAAAAAAAATCTGCCTTAGCAGCATATATGGGCTGGTCCGAGGCCCCAGCACATTGACAGCAGAGGCAGGCCTGAGCTGGCCTCAGTGGGAAAAGATGTGCCTAACTCTCCAGAGAGACTTGAGGCCCCAGGGAAGGGGATGATGGGAGGAAGCACACTCTCAGAGGCAAGGGGGAGCCTTAACCAAGCTGAGCAGCAATATTGTAACCAATGTAAAGCCCTCAAAAGACAAGGCACAGACTAAGGAATACATCAGAATTGAGAGTGAATGCTGTATCTTGTCTAACTTTGTTAGTAATATATACACATGATTGTGGAAAACCTTGTAAAATGCTGGACTTCAAAACACCCCATTTATGTGCAGAGTCCTGATGGAAAAGATAGCGAAGCACACAGGTGGGCTGCAAACCCAGACAAGCATGTCCTTGGAGCAGGATCAGAACACTGAGTGGGCTAAATCAACTACCAGGCTTTCTTCCAAAACTGAACCCACCAGACAGGACCTTAGCTGCTGCCAGGAAAAGGGAACCAGAAGGGGGCTCCAAGCGAGATAAGAGCCTGGAGTCTGGTCACTCTTTGAAGCCAAAGCCCCTATTCCCAGAAGGATCTGGAAAGAACGGTAACTGGCCAGATGCTGGTGCCTCGAGGGAGCGCCCTAGGGCTCCTCCCGGCTGAGCTCCACTTAGCCTGCTCTTCGTCTCCATCATGAGCCTGGCAGCTGACAACACCCCCAGTGAACCACCAACACTCTGTGAGAAGGCCCAGGGTCAGCCCCAGGGCCAGGTGAATGCAGAAATCACAAGAGCACAGTCAGGCAATAGAACCCATCTCCCAATGCAAATGACCTTCCCCAGAATGGGTGAAGAAAACTGGGGAAAAAAAATGCTGAGATCAAGCTGGGTTGAACACATACATAATCCCAGATGGCCAAGGCAGGAGGATTACCATGAGTTTGAGGTCAGCTTGCACTGAATAGTGTGGCTCCTTGCCTCAGAAGGAAATGGGGAAAAAAATGTCTTTTAAGGAAAGCTAATGTTAAAATTAACAGAACACCGATTCCATCAAGGTCAGATCGTGTTTTAAAACAATGGACTGTGGATTTTAAATGATTCTATTCAGAATGGCCAAAGAGACAGCGATACAACTGCAACGGGAACAAAAGCTATCGGGTAGCCATGACGGGAGTGTGGAGACAGATGTGTAGAAATCTTGGAAATAGAAAGTTGGTGGGGAGTTGGAGGTGAGATGGCGTGCAGGCTGCCTTCAACCCCCAGCCCCCAAACCAGCACCTACAAAAGTGAACTTTAAGCATTAGCTGAAGCCTGGAGACATGGCTTAGTAGTTATAAGAGCACATCCAAAAGTCAAGGGTTCAATTCCCAGCACCCACATGGAAGCTCACGACTGTGTTCTGGGCAATCCAGTGCCATGCTCTTGCTTCCTTAGACACCAGACACAAACATGGTACACAGACATGCAGGCGGGCAAAACACCCATACACGTAAAATAAAAATTAATTTAAAAAAATCAACTGATAAAGCATGTGCCCTGCACCCAGCTGTCCAAATCAGCAGTTCATTAGAAGTGAGGTCTGTGTTCACCCAGATCTGAAAAGGGAGAGGGGAGGACTGCAGAGTGCAGCCTGGCAGGGGAGGAGGGACTAAAAGATGGGAGCACGTGTCCCTGCGATGAAGAAAATGGAGTCAAGTAATGTAGCTTTGGATGATATTTTCTTAAAAAGTCCTTTGAGCAGGATGATCAAAGGTTGGAGCATGGATGATCTGCATGTATCTAAAAGTAAAGAGACACGTGAAAATGCAGGCTTCACAGTAAAATCTTAACAGGAGAGAGAGAGAGAGAGAGAGAGAGAGAGAGAGAGAGAGAGAGAGAGAGAGAGAGATTGTTCACTAAACAATGCAATTAATTAATTGGCAGCAGACATCTTGCCAGCAAATAAACAGGAGAAAATGGAATCTTGATTTGAAATGTGGAGGGGAAATGACTTTCTACACAGAGCTGCAAAACTCACCAATGTATTCTGCTATTCTTCAAGATAGAGCTCCGAGCCCCAGCTACCACACACAAAAGACTTGGGTTCAGCGTTTGTTAGGGAAAGTAAGCTTTTCAGTAGGAGGAGGGGAGCTCAGAGCAGGGAGCACGAGGTGAAAAATGTATAAAATTCACTGGGAAAGGATAAAAATAATTTTTAGTTTTAAAAAATGTATTGCTGAGTACAGCTCTGCAGCTAAGAGCGCTTGTTTCTCTTCCTGAGGATCCAAATTTGTGTCCCAGTACCCGTGTTGGGCTGTTCCCTACCTGCCCATAACTCTAGCTTGAGGAATGTGATGCCTCCTTCTCCTGGCCTCTGTTATATCTAAACATATGTGGCACACACACATAGAGAGACACACATACAAACACAGACACACACATATAAAAAAATAAATATACCTTTAAAAAGATGACTTTAAAAAAAATAAAAGCATTAAAGACCTATTCAGACATACCAGTTACATAAAATAAAAAGAGGAGTATAGGTCTTGGGCTATATGATGTCACTTTCATCACTTGATTTAATGCCTTGGTCTCTAGAACTATAAAATGGGAACCATAAGCATGCTGCCTTATCAGATTAAGGGGGAATTAAACCAAACATGGAGACACACACTGGTAACCGCAGCCCTTTCGGGGTAGAATCAAGAGGAACAGGAGTTTAGAATCATTCTTGGCTACATGGGGTGTTCTCCAAACAGTATCCTGTCTAATAAAATAAAATTTAAAGGTGACAATTCAGAATTAATACTGATTCTAGAATAAGGACAGATTCGTGTTGAGCACATCATACATGCGCTGCTGAGGTCTTTACCATCGTCATCATCCTTATCCCTAGAAGAGGTAGAAGAGGTATTCTTCACGCCCACACTAATAGCACCAGACGGAGGAGGACTGGTGGTGGGCCTGGGTGTCTCTCAGCAAGTACACACTTGGGCAGGGTGTTTACTAAGCCTTGGTTGCTTCCACTGGATTTCAGCGTTGAGGGTCTGTCTAGTGGGCTACCCGTGCCCTGTCCCTGCTCATAGTCACACACTGTGCTACTGCAGGGCCACTTTGCAACCGTGTGCTCAGTTTCTACCTCTGTAATCAGTGTGAAGATTTTGGCTGTCAGGAGGCCCTTGCTCTTGAGGAGTTCCCAAACACTGGGCTTATACATATACAGACTGACTTGCTCTGTTTTCTCCATTTTACATCGATTCATTTGTGTGCACACGTGGGGATCGGTCCTCTCCTTCCACCATGTGGTCTCTGGGCTTGAGCTCCAGACGCCAGGACTGCCAGCCAGTGCCTTTATCCCCCACCACACAGCCCCAAACCAACTTTGCCTCATTATTAATCTCATTCATCAAAGCTTATAATCAATTTCATTCATCAAAACTTATTATTCATTTCATTCACTAGTACTCGTTAATCTCGTTCATAATACTCTGTGCTCCTTGGTTGATCATTGTCCATATTGTTCTGTTTCTGACCCTCTTTGTGGAGGTGACTTCTCTAATTTGATTCAAGCATTATCCTGCCTCATACCAGACAAGTAGCATCCTGTCTCTTCCGTATTGCACTCCTCAGAGCTGGTCGATGCTCTTAGTTCATAGTCTTCTCAGCAGAGCCTGGCAGGGCAGCTGAAGGGCTCAAGGTTGTCCTCCAGGGCAGCAAATGAACGCATGAATACATTGCTATTGGGCCTTGTTTGTGTTCTCTCGTCTCTAAAGAGCGTGGAATGCTTCCATGAGAGCCCGTTACATCAAAGCCAGTTATGTTAACCATGCATGTAGTGTACAATGTGGGCGGAGGAGAGGGGCAAACAGGAGGACCAGGAATTACTTCCATATTTCTTCTTTTCAACGTTTACACATCTCTCACAAGTGTAGACAACATCCCGAGCCGGCAGCTTCCCGTAAGGGCAAATACTAATTCTCACTGCAGTGAAGAAATACAAAGATTAAAAATACTGAATATTCCCTAAACACTCACGTTGCTATGACATGTTCTATATCCTGATGCTGCTTTGTGTCAATCCTTGATGTAGCAAACAAAATCAGATATTTCGTTTTTCCATAACATGAGCTAAGAATAAAGTTTTGGTACTGGAGTCGAATGTTATGCTCTCCAGGCAGAGGAAATGGACATTTATTGGATGTTATTGCTACTTTCTTGACACTAATGACATTACAAAAGCTCTTTGGGTAATATAATTTGAAACTATTATTTCTGTGTTTCAGGTCATGCAAGACAAGATCATCTGCCTTCCAAAAAGAGTGCAGCCTGCTCAGAACCACTCTTCCCTTTCCAATGTCTCCCAGGCGGTTATCAGTACCACCCCACTGCCCCCACCTAAACCCTCTCCGACCAACCCCACGACTGTGGAGATGAAGGGACTGAAGACAGACCTGGACCTTCAGCAGTACAGTTTCATCAACCAGATGTGCTATGAGCGAGCCCTCCACTGGTATGCCAAGTACTTCCCGTACCTCGTTCTCATCCACACCCTGGTCTTCATGCTCTGTAGCAACTTCTGGTTCAAATTCCCTGGATCCAGTTCCAAAATAGAACATTTCATCTCCATCCTGGGGAAGTGCTTTGACTCCCCGTGGACCACACGAGCTCTCTCCGAAGTGTCTGGCGAGGACTCCGAAGAGAAGGACAATAGAAAGAACAACATGAACAGGTCCAACACCATCCAGTCTGGTCCCGAAGGCAGCCTGGTCAAGTCCCAGTCTCTCAAGTCAATTCCTGAGAAGTTCGTGGTTGACAAATCTACTGCGGGGGCTCTGGACAAGAAGGAAGGCGAGCAGGCCAAGGCCTTGTTTGAGAAGGTGAAGAAGTTCAGACTGCATGTGGAAGAAGGTGATATCCTGTATGCCATGTATGTTCGACAGACTGTGCTTAAGGTTATCAAATTCCTTATCATCATTGCCTACAACAGCGCTCTGGTTTCCAAGGTCCAGTTCACAGTGGACTGTAACGTGGACATCCAGGACATGACAGGCTATAAGAACTTTTCTTGCAATCACACCATGGCTCATCTGTTCTCCAAGCTCTCCTTCTGCTACCTGTGCTTCGTGAGCATCTACGGCCTGACATGCCTTTATACCTTATATTGGCTGTTCTACCGTTCTCTGAGGGAATATTCGTTTGAGTATGTCCGGCAGGAGACTGGAATCGACGACATTCCAGACGTGAAGAATGACTTTGCTTTTATGCTCCATATGATAGACCAGTATGACCCTCTCTATTCCAAGCGGTTTGCAGTGTTCCTGTCTGAAGTCAGCGAGAACAAGTTAAAACAGCTCAATTTAAATAATGAGTGGACCCCTGACAAACTGCGGCAGAAGCTGCAGACGAATGCCCACAACCGCCTGGAGCTGCCTCTGATCATGCTGTCTGGCCTCCCAGACACCGTGTTTGAAATCACAGAGTTACAGTCTCTGAAGCTGGAGATCATTAAGAATGTCATGATCCCCGCCACCATCGCCCAGCTAGACAACCTTCAGGAGCTCTGTCTGCACCAGTGTTCCGTCAAGATCCACAGTGCCGCTCTCTCCTTCCTGAAGGAGAACCTCAAGGTCCTGAGCGTCAAGTTTGATGACATGAGGGAGCTGCCCCCCTGGATGTATGGCCTCCGGAACCTGGAAGAGCTCTATCTGGTTGGCTCTCTGAGTCACGACATCTCCAAAAATGTCACCTTGGAGTCTCTGCGGGACCTCAAAAGCCTTAAAATCCTTTCCATCAAGAGCAACGTCTCCAAGATCCCTCAGGCTGTGGTAGATGTGTCCAGCCACCTCCAGAAGATGTGTGTCCACAATGACGGCACCAAGCTGGTGATGCTCAATAACCTGAAGAAAATGACCAACCTGACGGAGCTGGAACTGGTCCACTGTGACCTGGAGCGAATTCCCCACGCCGTGTTCAGCCTGCTCAGTCTCCAGGAGCTGGACCTGAAGGAGAACAACCTGAAGTCAATAGAGGAGATCGTGAGCTTCCAGCACTTGAGAAAGCTGACTGTGCTCAAACTGTGGTATAACAGCATCGCTTACATCCCGGAGCACATCAAGAAACTGACCGGCCTGGAGCGGCTGTTTTTCAGCCACAATAAGGTAGAGGTGCTTCCCTCCCACCTCTTCCTGTGCAACAAAATCAGATACCTGGACTTGTCCTATAATGACATTCGCTTCATCCCTCCTGAAATCGGAGTTCTGCAAAGTTTACAGTATTTTTCCATCACTTGTAACAAAGTAGAGAGCCTCCCAGATGAACTCTACTTCTGCAAGAAACTTAAAACATTGAAGATTGGGAAAAACAGCCTCTCCGTACTTTCACCAAAAATTGGAAATTTACTATTTCTTTCCTACTTAGACATCAAAGGCAATCACTTTGAAGTCCTCCCTCCTGAGCTGGGAGACTGCCGGGCTCTGAAGCGAGCCGGGCTAGTTGTGGAAGATGCTCTGTTTGAGACCCTGCCCTCAGATGTCCGGGAGCAAATGAAAGCAGACTAAGTTATTTTTCATCACAATATGACTGAAACATGCTTCTACCAAATACAATATAAAGAATTAGGTAGTCCTAATGCCTTTCCTATATTATTTTTTTTTCTTTTCCACACAAGACAAAATGTACACAAAGATTGAGTAAGGAGTATGTATTTTTTAATAAAAATGTAATTGTATTTTTTCAATATTAATATTTTAAAGTTTTATTTGTCCTGGAAGCTGGTATATTAGTTGTTACTGCTTTCTGACAGCGGGAATGGGTAGTTCCATCTGGCTTTTTGGGTTTTGTTTTCTCACTTGAGTTCATTCTTGTAAAAGGAAAGGAATCGTAGGTTGTGTGCGTTTTGGCATATTCTAAATGGGTGAAGATACTTTGCCAATGCCATCTTTACTTTCTTTCTACCCATCTGAGCCCTTGCTGTGTTTCATCATGTGTGCTGAGGGGAGGAGTCTGTGCCAGCTGTCTTACTGTCAGCTGCCGCCTTCACTGGTCAGGTCATGCCACTATAGGAAACTCTAGACTGTGAGCTCACACAAGTGCACTGTCACAAGAGTATTACCCTGAGAACCCCCAGCTGCAGACACTGTTAACTGTGTTATTTCCTAACCAACAGTTTCATTTAGCCTCAGATAGGCTTTTTAAGTGGATGAAGAAAGCAGCCCCCTGCGGTTGCCATCCTTGTAGGCATGCATCATTTGCTGTCTAACTGATCTGTATTTTTTTTTTACCAACATCCTAAAATATGTCATCAAAAATTAAATACAACCCCTCCCCATCCACCTCAGTATTGCCATGTGTTACTGTTGAACAACCTTAGGAAAATTAGATTTATTACAATATTCTAGCAGATAATTAAATTTTAAATCATAGAATTAGAAGCCTGTTTTGAGTAATTTAATCACTTTTGATGCCTTGACATGTGGATGCATCCAACGGAAAACAGTCTTGCTACTAAGGCACTCGGTCAGAAAGCTGTGATCCACGCAGGCCCCGCCCCTGCCTCGCCCCTGCCCCGCCCCTTCCTCAGACCATGTGCAGAGAGATCAAGTCACTCTCTGCCTGCTGAACAAAACAGCCCACTGTAGATGTAAGCATAGTCATCGGCTTCCCGCAAGCGTGCCCTCAGTGCGGATGCTGGTGCGGCAAGCATGGGAACTCTTGGCTCTTTGCTTAGGATTGCATCTCACTTCGGAAGTGTTCTTTTACTAAGTTCCCCCCTGGGGGCTGGCAAAGCTTTTATTGACCTTTCTCTTCCTAAAATCCAGCCTAGTGTGGAGACTTGAGTTACATAGTCCATAGACTGGCCTAAAGAAAAATTTAACGGTGAAGCTAGGAAGATGATCTGACTTCTGAAACCCTGTTTTGAAGGACGTTTCCTTGGGCCCCATGACCTTACCCAGACCTGTTTTTTGTGACATGTAGACAGGACAAGGCACATGGCCCTCGTCTGAGTTAAGCTGTGATGGGTGTGTGTAGCTTAGTGACAAAGTGCTTGCCCAGCGCAGTGCCGGGAGCCTGAGTTTAGTGACCTGATACCACAAGACAGATGAGGGGACAGGACTCATCACCTCTGGGTGGGTGAAGCACAGAGAAACATCCGTGTGAAAGGCCAACCATGTGAAAGTGCTGCTGTTTCAGTCATGATTTCTTTAAACTCGGAATTAAAATAACATTTTGAAGTACTATTATGGCTATACTTGTTATATGAAGAAATATTCAATTTTAGAGCATTGAATGATATGAATCATGTGTCATGTTCAGAAAAGCTCTGTCTTAAAGAACTACAGCCAGATTGTTACTGTGCATGAGTAACCTGTTGTTGGAATGTAAATTGAACCAATGAATGTACTGTTTTGAGTGTTAAAACTTATGGCTATTTCTAACATCACCCTTCAAAAGGGATCTATTCAAGTTAAACACCATCGTTATACTGAAGCCTTTCTCTGGTATTAACTGAACCATATGGGTTCATAACTGAAGCAAATCGCCAATAATTCAATTTTATCAAGCTTCCAAATAATTTGATTTACTTTCATAGTGATTTTTGCAGGCTGACTCCCAACCTAAGTTGTAAATAACAGTCAATAAATCAGTATAATTCCAAGACTTTCTTTTAACTAAGAGTGAAATGTTCATAGACCTATTAGATTTTATAAAACTTCCAAAGCCTCAAATTCTGAAGAGTTTGAATTTTCTGATTCTCGTCCTTTTTAATACAGTAAGCTTTTGTTCACATTCTTGAGTAAAATGCTTTTGGTTACTGTCCAGTCTTCCAACGGGAAACTCAGGTGCCTGAACTGCTGGCTATACTTGTTATATGAAGTATAACAAGTTCTCTGATCTAACTCAGTGCAGAGAGGCTGTCTGCCTCCTTTCTCTGTTTTCCAAGTGCTCTTGCTGAGAAGGATCAGCTCTCTGCCCAACCTCCAACTCACAACAAACTGCTGTATAAATCACAAATGTGCCATCTGTACTCTCTTAACTCCAGGGGTGGCTTCAAGCTCAAGGTGGCCACACTATACAGTGAGGTTTACTAACAGAGTACAGAACAGCTGTCTTGTGGTGCTGTGGTTAGAAGGTCCTAATAGAATCCCACCTAAGGGACCAGCAAGGTGGCTCTGAGGGTAAACGGCACTTGCCATCCACCTGAGGTCCTGAGCCTCAGGATCCATGCAGTGGAAGGAGAGAACCAACTCTCATAAGATGTCCTCTAATAGGTGCCATAGCCTGAGCACCTACGCAAAATGCGCACAAACTAATCAATGTAAATTTTAAATCATAGAAAAAAAAACACACCCAAGAATGTAACGCCTCAGAACAGAATTGTGTTTTCTTATTATACAATTTGATCTGGTTTGAATATCAGAATTCTCGATGAGATAAACTCTGCAGTGTACATGAGGTCCCTCGCATTGCTCACCCAGCTCTTCCTGCTGTTCCAATGAGCTCCAACAATCCCCATGATGTCCTAAGCAGCAAGCAGGCCTGCTTTTTCAGGCTTTTTTGGAAATGTCCCCGCCCCAAGGATGTTGTTCATTTTGATCATAGGCCCTGCTCTTAGGAGTCTGAAACATGAACTCTTCCTTGGGTTTCTTCAACAAAAGAAGTCCAGTTGTTTTTTTTCCAGTATGAAGCTTTATGGCTTTAATTTATCTCACTCTCTAATCCAATTTTCATACCAAATACCTGATCAACAGTATTGGCATTCCAACAGTAACATTTATGGCTCGTCAATACAAAAATCCGTTAGCACTTCTCTGCAAACCTTGTTGATGTCATTTCAGTTTTTCACAGAGTAAATTAAGACTACATTAAAGAGTTTACACTGGGGCAGGATCTCAAGAACAGGGTTTCATACGCAAGTGAACAAAATGGCTACCACTGAGGAGACTTCTAGAAGAGTCTATAGGGTTGTTCGTACCTTTTCTGTTTAGAGACAATAAGAAATCCCAGTCTTACCTAGAACTGCCATGAGTTTTCAGATTTAGCTCTCAGTCTTCAATCTTCTGATAATTTGATATCAGCCTCCCAAACAAGTATCTGCTCCCATTCCCCTTCCCAAGGTCACCCACTAATAAAGATGGCATTCTTAGGATTATCTGAAGGAGAGAGAAGAGAGTCTCCCTCTGCCCCCAAGCAATTATCCTTTAATCAGAGGGGTATATAATATTGGACAGCTAGACTTACTGACCAGATTGCAGCCACTATGTGTTTAGGCTTTGGTTTGGTTTTTGCGCCAGGGTCTTGCTTTTTAACCCAGGCTGACCTTACACTTGAGAGCCTCTTGCCTCAGTTTCCTAGACACTGGATTACAAGTGTTTACTGCACACCTGGCCTGCGTGGTTTCTAGTGGATTCGTTTGTATCTTCATCCCCCGCCACAAAGCTCGTTGGGGCTAGCACCCCATGCCTTATGTGCTTGCTCGTGTCCGGTTTGCGTTTGTTTACTATGGTCATGGGCTTTCAGATTGTCAAGTGCTGGCAAACGTCTTAGACTGCCAAGAAAGAGGACTGATCACTGATTTGTCAGAATACATGTTCATGAAAGGAGATGTCTTAATGTTATTTCCCTATGTAGTGTACAGGAACAAAAATAAATAAAGTCATTTTTGTAACATAACTTGGGGATCCATTCTTTTTTCCTTGTTTTTAGAAATTATGTGTATCTTTTGTTCATAAGCCATTACCAAGGTTCTCTTGGCTGCAGGAAACAGGCTCATTTGCTCCTTACCATTGGAGCTAGTTTTTATCATTGTAACAAATTGTTTCCTTCCTGAATTCACTGTCCTGCATCTACGTAAGGTGTCCTTGGAGTTCTATTTGTGTAATTGCTGAGTTATTGTATAATCTGGAGTACAGTTTTTTGTACATTTGCCAAATCAGATTGTACAATGGCTACCCAGCTAAACCTTCATTAGATACCTTTATGATAACAATGGTGGTAACTTAAAGGAGTAAGAATGATCCTGTACAGCCAGGGAGGTAGTCTCTAATTCAGCCTGTGGGTCTCGAATCTTTGGGCAAACGTCTATCTCCAAAAATATTTACATTATGATTCATAGCAGCAGCAAAATTACAGTTATGAAGTAGCAATGAAATTAATTCTATGACGGAGGGTCACCACAACATGATGGACTGTATTAAAGTCTCAGAACATTAGCAAGATTAAGAACCACTACCCTAAGTAAATACACTTACCTCACAGAAGCCTGCTACAAGACAATTTCACATACTGTTGCATAGGCATAAGAAAACCATGACTAGTACTGATAACTCTCAAAGCTAAGCTGTCACCACACACACTTTCTGTGTAGAATTCTGTTGCTGGTAATCACCTCTGGGGAAGGATGATTGTGAGGAGGAAGGGCAGGGGTGGGGTTGGACGGGCTGAATGAGTGACGTTTCAGAAACAGAAGTAACTCTGAGAGCACTTTAGGAGACAAAAACTAAGAGTCTAAATGGCATATGGTGTGGCTTTCTTAGCAGTACACACAAGGAAAAGACCGACAGCTTCTGCCCTCCGTTGATCCATCTTCTAGAACTTTCTTTCACATGGAATATGGAGATCAGCTGAGGCTAAGCCAATCATGTGGGTTTTTACTATTGTTGGTCATCATTTCATTCGGGAGGAGGTAAATGTGCAAGAAGAAAGTCACCAAAGTGAATCTGAGACGAAGCAGGCATATGGCTTAGTTTTCTGTTGCTGTGATAAAATACCATAAACAAGGCAGCTTATAGAAGGGTTAGTTGGTTTATGGTTCCAGGGAGTAAGCGAAGCATTACAGCTAATAGTTGGCAGCCTGCATTCGAGAAGCATTGTAGCCAGCAACCAGCATGCTGGCTAGAGTGGCAGTCGGAAGTCACAGCTCAAACTGCAAGCAGGAGGCAGAAATGGTGGAGTCTTTTGAAACCTCAAAGCCCTCCCCAGAGACATACTTCTTCCAGTAAGGTCACACTTCCTAATCCTACCCCAAACAGCCGCTGACTAGGAATCGAACAAAGACTTAGGGCAAACATCTCATGCAAACTGCCACGAGGTACTTCCCCAGTCTTACACAGTGTAAGTTTGAAGGTCATCAAACTTTTCATTAGTCACATTAGTCTTTGCTTGCCAATCTATGAATACAGATTGTACGTTGGCATTCATATTTGAAAACACTTGAAAGACCCAGCATTCAGGAACTTGAGGGAAGTTTGCTTCAAGTTTGAGGCTAGCCTGAGCTAAGTAAAGTCCAGTCCAGTGTACACTGCAGCATAAGATAAAAATAAGTAAATGTAAATTTAACCTAAACCTATTTGAACCCAACAATGTACAAATAAGCACATGTATGACCAAGCATGGCATAAATAAGTACAGGGTGGTTTTTTTACTTTTAATATTTTATATATAATATACAAGTAAGCGACAATACTATCAAATCTCTACACCAAGTGGGACATTCCGATTGGTTCAGAGATTCCAGAAACAAGCAAACATAATCTGTCTTTTTCTTATTCTTTGTAGAATTAATTTTATTTCAAGTCAAATTACACCCAGACATACACTATTACTGTGTTTCAAACCAGGTATTGTGGCTTACATCTGTGATTTGACTTGGAAAATTAAGACAGGAGGTTATGAGTTCAAGGTCAGGTCCAGCTTCAGAGCAAGACCCTGTCTCAAAATTAAATAAGCAAATAAATTGAAAGTAAGTGTTTGAATCTTATTGCAAGTTTCAGAAATGTAGACCTTGAGAAAAAAGATTCACATGTACACTTTGCATTCTATATTTAATCCACAGTTACAGTCTTAAAAAATGAGCTTCCAAGAAGTGATTCTGATAGAACAGAAGCTCACCTTTCCTTCCCTGGGTTGTTAGGGGTTTGGGAATTCTGTTATAACTTCACACAGACAGCATGGGGTGATTATGTTAATATTATATTTTCAGTGATGCTTGGGTGACTTCAGGCATCTTTCTTAGGCTGAGTTTACCCAAGGATTAACTCTGAGATTAGTTCATACACTGAGTAAGTGGTAAAACGTATGGGAAAGAGTTGACAGCTTGTATTTGTACCACTGAGTTGTCTGCTTAGGCTGTGATTCTACAATAGCCTTGATGTCTATCTGTCTGGGTTTAGAATCACTGTGGAAACAAATCCTTGTGCCTGACTGGGAAGGGTTTTCCAGATGAAGTTACCCTAAAGGTGTACAGAACCAATCTATGGGCTGAAGGGTCAGACTGAATAAAGAGCTAAGGTGAGCTGAAGGCCAGCATACATCTCCCTCTGCTCCCTGATTGGATACACAGCCGCCCGCACCCCATGCTCTGGTGGCTGTGACTTCCCTACTGTGGCAAACTGAACCCCCTAGAACTGTAAAGTCAAACCAAACCTTCCCCTGGGAGTTGTTTTTAGTGGGTGTTTTATAACAGCAATGAGAGAAGTAATTGGTGCAATTCCTTAGTGATTTAAACTTCTTGATAAAAAATACTTCATGGAGTAGTCAATCTCAACAAATACGTAAGAAGCCATATAGAGTAATCTTAAAATGTTTGTGTCATGGGGCTTTTCTGTGAACGTTTGTAGCAGAAAACCAATTTGTTCAGAATCAGAAGGCTGTTTTTATCAGCTCTCTCCAGGACCCCCTACTCTTCCGTGTCAATCAGAACCTTTCCTGGAAGTAGCACTGTGAGCCTCAACAATCGATCAGCCTGGCAGTGGAGCTCATCGTTTAATAATCTAGAAACAGCAGGATGCTGGTGGCCCTTGGGTCTGTGCACCACACTAAAAGTGAAAGCTAGATTTCCGGCTTCAGTCAACTCCACTGAAACACCTACCTGCATGAACGTTTCAGTAACATGTTGAAGAAACAATAGTATCAGATGGTAGAGTGAACACTCTCAGAGGAGTTAAATACCTAATTTAACTAAATAAGCTCTGGTGTGGGTCAGGGAAACTGCTGTTGCCACTTGCTAATAGGTAATCTCCTGATACTTAAAGTCTGCCAATCTTTAAAAACAAAAAAAGTCACAAGCACAGTAAACCAGCTAGATAATGTCACATAATCTAACTCACTCATAACTTCTACACACCACTTCAGTTTTAGATCTGATCAAGATCCGATATCAAAAACAAAAGTCCAAGTCCAATAAACAAACAAGACAAAGTTATAAAATTAAAAGGCTGGGCATGATGATTCATACCTCTAAACTCAACACTCAGAAAAGAGAGGCAGGAGGATCCCACATTTGAAACCAACCTGAGCTATATAGCAAAACCTTGTCTCAAAAACAAAATCACCTAAAAGTAACTCTAAAAGCTTTCCGATGTCATTTTCGGTAGCATTGGCCACATGAGGGACAGTTACTGGGCTCAGCTTTTGTTCTTGCCTAAAAGTGGTTTTAAACTCTTTGGAGTCCTATGTATTTCCAGTGTGCACAGGGAGAAGAAAAAACATACAAAAATGTATCCAATACTCTGTAGGTGCTTTCCAAGAATGTATATAAATGACCTGGCCGGAGCCTATGGAACAACCTGATATATATTTTTAAGGGGTTTAAGACTTATTTAAATTTCTTGTTAACGGTTTAAATCTGCACTGTGACTTGGGCCGCTCTTGGCTTTATTGGGGTGATTTCAGAACCCGTCTTGTTTCCACATCAGAGGTCCAGGGGGTGCGGAAATCAAACCTAAAAAGCTACCTGCAGTATCCCGGCACTTGCCATTACAGCGCCTAGCAGGTGGGCTCTGTGATAAAGCCATCATCATTCTGCTCTCTGGATCCAGAGGCCTGGATGAGGTCCTCTATTGGGTCCCTTCCCTCAGAGATTGAGAAACTCCACGGAAGAGGGGGTGGAGGATACCAGGAGAACTCATCCCAATGAGTCAACTAAGTAGGGCCCCTGTGGGCTCACAGAGACTGCAGCGGCAAGCACGGGGCCTGCAGGGCTCTGCACCAAGACCTCTGTGTGTATGTTGTGTCTGTTAGCTTGGTGTGTTTGTGACACTCCTAACTTTTGTGTTTGTAGAAGTTGGTGTGTCTGTGACTCTTCTGCCTGCCTTTGCTCCTATTGAGTTGCTTTGTCCAGTCTCAATATGAAGGATTTTTCCTTGTCCAGTTGTATCCTGTTTTGTCCTGTTCGGCTGTCCTCTCTTAGAGGCCTGGTCTTTCTTGAAGAGGAAACAGAGGAGTGGAGGTAGGGGAGAGGAGGTGGGTGGAGGGGCTAGGAGGAGTGGAGGGAGAGGAAACTGTGGGCAGGATGTATTCTATGAGAGAAGAATCTATTTTCAATTTAAAAAAATAAAAGAAATAAAAAACAAAGCACAGTTTCTTCACTTGGTTTTACTTTTGGTTTGGGGTTGAGAAAGTTTCATTGTGTAGCCCCCGCTGGCTTTAAGCTTAGCTTTAAACTCCTGCTTCCAGTGCTGTGGAGATGCACACTACCACTCCCAGATTTTCAGTTCTGCACGGGATTATCAGCAACCCGGATGTGTTTCTGATGGCTGTGAGGGTGTGGTGCTTTGCAAGAAGCACTTGGTGACTGGTGACCCATAGATGGGTCACTCCTGTCTCTACCTTCCTCTTTCCTATGGCTTCTGTATGCATCAGCATCCATGTCCAAATTTTCCCTTTTTGCAAAG